TAGGTGCTGTGTGCTTTTCCTTCCAACAACCAGCACCTGCACCTCTCCTGACTTCCCCAGGATACTGAAGCCACTTTGCACACTGAGGTAGAAAGCAGGAAGTGCCTGGAAATTGACATCTGCCCTCCTGACACCTTCTCCCTGCAGCCTTTAACCAGTGCCTGGAGGTGGGGGGAAAAGTATGGAGGAGTGACTTTCATTCCAGAGCTCCCCTGCAGGATCAGCCTGGGCCAGCCACTCCAGACAGGACCTGAGATGACCCCCTCTGTTCTCTGCTTGGCTTCTCTCCTTTACGGGTCCTGTTTCACCCACTCCCTTAGCATCCTCATGGGAGCACATCCTTGCTAAGTCACTTGACTACCTGAAACAAATATATAATGGGTAGTGTTGCAGAACACAGTAATGAACACATCTGTAGAATGTTTTCTGTTTTTAAACGATGGCAACAAATACATAGATTTGGCTGTGTTGAGTTAAATGCACATAAGATGATACCCCTACTGTATTATATCCCCCAGTCCAGCCCTCCAGGACCCCCATGAAGGCCTATGGCCTGTGACTCTGAGCTCAAAGCCCTGCCTTTTGGCATCAGGGAGGGGATGGTCCACTCTGGGAAGTGAACTTGGAACGATCTTCAGAGAGACAGGAGCTAAAGATATTCTTTTCCAATTCTGAGTTTCATCAAATGATGAAAACTGAGGAGAGGGTTGTAGGAACCCTCAATGTACAGCCACCCCGTCAAAAGTCTGAGTAATCCAGACTCGCTATGAGTGCCTGAAGTGGGGAGTCTTGCGGGTTCTGCGCTAACTCTGGATGCTAAGGTGTCAATTGGACCGAAACATTGGACATCCAATTGGTGTCTAGAGAGCTGAAAATCCGGTTGTCGGTGTGAGGAGCAAACCCACACACTGGGTGTCAGAAATGCTCTAAAAAGAGTATCAGATCAAGGACTCCCTTTGATGAACTCAAAGTCCACTGGTTAGGGACCTTAATCACATCGCAAAAGCCCTTACCTTTTCACTTAACCTGATCATGGGAGAAAAATCCAGCTCATTCCAAGTGCCATCCTCATTCAGGGGAGGGGGTTATGGAGGACCAGCACAGGGGCCAGGGGAGGGGGCACAGGGAGGCAGGAATCTCCAGGGCCTTGGATCCTGCCAACTCTGACCAACAGCGGGCCGTGGAAGCAAGTTGTGTAACTTCCAAGGCTGGGCCTCAGGAGGCCTTGCAGTGTTCTTCACCTCCTCATATGGCTCCGGCAGCCCTGTAAGGAAGCCTGCACTGGACTGCTGAATCGTGAGAGGCCACGAGGAGAGCGAGGTCCAGCCAATACCCAGGACTAAGCCCCCCGACATGTGAGTCAACTCTGGCCATGTCTCTGATTGCAGCCCCATGAAGGGCCTGAAGCAAGACCAGGTAAAAACAAAACAAGACAAAACACACATAAAACTGCCCAGCTGAGCCCAGGCAACCCAAAGAATCATGAAAAGTAGATTCTTGTGTATGAAGCCAGCAAATGATGGTGTTTTGTAGCACAAGCTAACTGAAATGCCCTCTCTCTGGGCAGCAACTCGCACAGTCCAGGAGATTAAACTGTTCCCTTTCAGTGTTGGACCAAATCTCAGAAGGACGGGCTGTGGAAGAGGTACAAGGAACTTTTTCTCGTAGAATAGAGATGATCTGTGAGGCGCCCTCGGTGCCTCAGATGGTTGGGCGTCTGCCTTCTGCTCAGGTCATGATCCTGAGGTCCTGGGATCAAGCCCCACATTGGGGTCCCCGCTCAGTGGGGAGTCTGCTTCTCCCTCTCCCTCTGCCCCTCCCTGCCTTGCTCATGCTCTCTCTCTCTTTCTCTATCAGGTAAATAAATAAAATCTTTATTAAAAAAAGAGATGATCTATGAGAGGTGGAAGAATTCAAGGTGGAAGGGACTTCCTCTCATTAAAGCCCCGGCTGACCCCTCTACCTGGGCTGCCTTTCTCATTCTTCACTTGCAGGCAAATTCATCTTCAGCTTCCAAGGCCCCAGTCCAATGACCCCAGCTCTGAGAAGCCCTCCCAGCCTCCTCTCCTCCAGGTAGTGGGCTGCTCCCTCATCTAGTATGATGGTTCATTTGATTTGTCAGCTTGCTGGGCTCTGAGATGCCCAGATAGCTGGTAAAGATTATTTCTAGTGTGTTTGTGAGAGTGTTTCCAGAAGAGATTAGCATTTGAATCCACAAGCCACCCTTGCCAATGTGCCCTGTTATCCTGTATCCACTGTGGGCCTGAACAGAACAAAAAGGCAGAGGAATGGTGAATTCTTTATCTTCTCAAGCTGGGACATCTATCTTCTCCTGCCCTGGTTCTCTGCCTTTCCAATCAGGGCACTAACACCCGCCTCCTCATACTTGGGCCCTCTGCTACCAGCTTCCCTGGTTCTCCAGTTTGCAGACTTCTGGACCTTCATAACCACATGAGCCAATTCCTATAACAAATCTCCTCTTAATGTATTTCTGTATACACCCTAATGGTTCTGCTTCTCTGGAGAACTCTAATACATTCAGATTCCCAAAGCATCCTCTACGTACCTTTTGTGGTAGGTTGCATATGCCCCATCCAGCCAAGGATGTCCACATTCTAATCCCCAGAACCTATGAATATGATACCTTACATACGCTGTATAATATGTTACCCTGGGGTAAAAGGGACTTTGCAGATATGATTAAGTTAAGGATGTTGAGATGAGATAATCCTCAAATATTTGGGTCAGCCCAATGTGATCACAAAGGTCCTTATTAGAAAGAAGCAGGAGGTAAGTCAGGGGAAGGCAAAAGTAAATATTGGAGTGATGCAGCCACGAGCCAAGGAATGTCAGCAGCTTCTAGAAGCTGGAAGAGGCAACGAATGGATTCTCTTCTAGAGCCTCCAGAAGGAACCAGCCCCGGGGATATCTTGACTATAGTTCAGTGACGCTGATTTGGGATTTCTGACCTCCAGAACTTTAAGATAATAAGTCTGTGCTACTTAAAGCTATTAAATGTGTGGTAATTTGTTACAGTGGCCATAGGAAATTACCACGTTTATTCTAGCACTAGTCACACTATATGGCAGGTGCCTCTCTCACCTGAGAGTTCCTAAAACCTGGGGCACCTTTGTTTAGGTGGCTTAACACAAAACCTTAAAAAGGGTCACAAAAGCTGCTGAGTGAACTAACACATGGATTTAATGTTTACCCATTTTATCTGACTGCCGCCTCTCTCAGCCTGAGCGCGTGCGCGCCTGCGCACACACACCCACACCCACACCCACACACAGCTCATCTGCCTGTTCACCCTGATCATCCCCAGAAAGGCAGCTCTATTCTTAGACCAAAGCCCACTTTGGACTGGCCAGCAAATAACTATTTTTCAAGAGCATGTTGATTTTAAGGAAGGTGAGGGGGATTTCTCCCAAGATAATAATTGGGCAAATCTGCATAGATGCAGAGATGAGAAGCAGCAGTTTTGATGCAGTCGATTTGAAACCACAAGAATTGGTATTACAGTACAGAAATGTAAAAATCCTCTTTTCTAATAAACAAATGATGAAAGCAAGAGATGATCCTGATCCTCACCACATCCCCATTCCTCTCCACCTCCATCTCAGCCCCACCACAGCCACGAAAATGGTGGCAAAATTTCCAATTAATGACACCAAGAGAGGTTCGCTTCTTTTCATTAAGGGAGAAAAGCAGAACCCAGACAGTGTGATTCATAAGATCCCATTCTGTTAAAAAGAAGTCAATATATATATATATACTATGTATATACAATGTATACATACGTGTGTTTGTATAGAGGGAGAACAGGCTGGAAGAGGATTCATGAAGATATTAACAATGATTTGATGGAGATTATGGGGGAACAGTCGGGTTTTGTTTTGTTTCGTTTTGTTTTAATTTACAAAGAACAAGACCGTTGGTGTAATAAAGAATAAAGTTTAAATAATTCAAAGGAAAAGAAATGGAGCGTTTTGTGTGGCAGGGCTATTTTGTGTCCATTCCGGGACAGCCAGGTTTCCCACTCTCCTCACACAGGAAGCTGGAGTCTGGTCTCCCTGTGAGCAATGGCGGAACCACTAAAGGAACAGCACGCAGCCGAAGCTTGCCGAGGCCAGGGGGCCTGGGAATCAGAAAACATATAGACAAGGTCATGTGGGTGGTTTCTGCCGAATGACCCAAGGATGACCCACTCGGGCCTAATCTGGGGTGCCAGGAACCCATCTCATCCCACAGCCTCTCTGTCCCTCCCCTCGCCGCCACATAGTCCTGGCTGCGATCTTCAACCCGCCTCCAGGGTGAAGGCAGGTGCCGCCCAAGACCCCAGCCCGCCGAAGAACAGATGCACAGGATCCTCCCGGCCTTCCTCCAACCCAATACACCGCCCCCAGCCCTCTTCCTGCGGTGGAGTTTTTGTTTTAATTCATCTGAACTAGTTACAAAACCACACTCCCACGAATACATAAATAATGGATTGGGGAGGGGGAGGGCAATGTTTTTAAAGAAATTCCCGCAGGGCCTGGCAAGGCAACAGCAAATGCATTTCTGCTGTATCATATTTAACTGTTTGCAAACTTCTGCTGGGAGGATGCGCAGCAGCTGCAGAGACTCCATCGTCTTTCCCCTGCTGGGGCCTAGGGAGACTTGCAAGGGGGAGGTGTTAAAAGGAGGGAGAGGTTGTCAGCTATCGGGGGCCGGGAAGATGGAGAAGGCAGTAAGAAAGTGTTAGACTGCACTGCGCCCGACCAGGCTTCCCGCAAGCCAAGCAACCACCCGGTTCCGGGCCCGGACTCCCGCCGCCAGGCGAGGCCCCTTTAAGAGCCAGCGCGCGCCCCCGCCCCGCGAGCGCTCACTTTCCCTAGCAACCGCCCCGGGGGAGGGGGTGGTCCTGGCAACGGCGCGCCTGCCGGGAGGGGTCACGTGACGGCCCGCAGCTGGAACACGAGCGCGCGCCCCGCCGCGCGCCCGCCCGCCGGGGCCTGTGCGCTGCGGCGCGTGCGCGAGCGGTGCAGCACCGGCCGCGGGAGCAGGGAGTATTATGGGCTGTGGGTGCCGCTGAGCAAGATGGAGCTGTCTGCAGTGGGCGAGCGGGTCTTCGCGGCCGAATCCATCATCAAACGGCGGATCCGAAAGGTGAGCCGCCTCCCGAGGCGGGACGTCTTGCCCCGCAGCCGGTGTCCGGGTCCGCGGCCCATCAGGGCGAAGCGGTCCCGCTAACACGGGCTCTCTCGTCCCCCCCCGCGCCGCCGCCTCCTCGCGTCCCCGCATCCTCCCCACCCCCACTCCCCCCTTTTTTCTCTTCTCTGCCTTTCAGGGACGCATCGAGTACCTGGTGAAATGGAAGGGGTGGGCCATCAAGTAAGTGCCGGTGGGGTCCAGGGGCGATGGGGGAGGGGAAGGAGCGGACACCGGGGCCTTTTTTTCCCTTGGTGGTGGTGGGGGGGGAGTGTGCACGTTTGGTGCCTCGCATGTGCCTCTGCCTATTAGGTTTTCATTTTTATTTTGTGCATGTGTGACTCGGCAGGTACAGCACTTGGGAGCCCGAGGAGAACATCCTGGACTCGCGGCTCATTGCAGCCTTCGAGCAGAAGTGAGTTTGGGGAGCTGGCAGGGGCGGCGGGGCCAAGGCTCGGCTGGGGCGCCGCGCAGGGAAGCGGGGGAAGCGGGAGAGCCGGGGAGGGCAGCGCGGAGTGGGGCCCTGGAAGGGGCTCTTTTTAACCTTTGGCGTTTCTCGGCCGCAGGGAGAGGGAGCGTGAGCTGTATGGGCCCAAGAAGAGGGGACCCAAACCCAAAACTTTCCTCCTGAAGGTAACCTGGCCCAGCCCCAGCAGCCCCCTCTCGGGCCCCTAGCCTTGGCGCAGCACGGGGCCTGCAAGGGAGGGACAGATCCTCGGCTGCCCAGGCAGGCGGACCTTTCCAGAGGGGCCCCAGCTGGGCAGGGGGTGGTTGTGAGCCCCCGACCGAGCCCCTGGCAGCCGGCCCTGGCCAGCTCCAGCTTCAGCAAGAGGGGCCTGGGAGTGGGGAGTGAGGGAGGGAGGAGGATAATCCTCGCTGACAAAACCAGGGTCTGGGCAGGCCACCTGGGCTCCAGCATGGGGGTGGATGAGGCAGGTGGGGGCTGTCCACCTGAGGGGGTGGCAGGGAGGTTACTTCTGCACATCGGATGAAGCGAAACCCTCATCTCCCCCAGCCTTGAGCTGGTAGGGCTCTGCCTGGAATTAGAATCCATGGGGAAAGTAAATGTGGTTTCCCTCAGGGCTGGGAACAGGAGAAGCATTTGGGGGCCACCTGCCTCCCCACCCCCAGCTTCCTTCTCTCTCTTAGGATTTGTTCTGCATGCCTCCCCTCCTCACTGGGGAATGCAACTTGAATTTGACCTTAGATCACTTCACTTTGAGTTTATCACCTGGGCCGGGCCACTGGCTTCCCCCTACCCCTGGCTGTTTCTGGAGGTTCTAATGAGAATGGGGTGTGGGGGAGTGGAAGCATAGCACATTAGCCTTGGCAAGAGAGACCTAGCCCCAGAGGAAGCCATCTTAGAGGTTTTGGTGGGTTAATTTTTCTTAGTGAGAAAGAACACAGTCGGAGAGGGAAGGTGAGATGACCCTAGGAGACAGGCAAGACTGCAGGCGGGCCTCCGTGGGACACCACCGTTGGCCCAATAGTGCTAAAGTTGCCTTGGGGCCCCTTCCCACCCTGGCAGCCTGTGACTTGGTGGCAATTGGCACGGGAAGGACAGGGAAGAGACTGTGCAGAATGCACAGCCTCAGCATCTCCAGTTTTTGCAAAAGGCTCAAAGCCCCGTGAGGGTGGGGTGGGCCTCTCCAGCCCCACCCCCACCCCAAAAGGTCTCTGCGTGGGTAAGGGTTTGAACTTAAAGCCGACGTGAAAGAACTGTTGGTTTCTAGAATTACATATTTCCGTGACTCCTGTTCCCAACCGCCATACGTTAGGGGATCCATGGAGGAGCACCCTTAACCCTTGATGCTTCTTAGGAGGAGGGATGGGGCGGGGCAGCTGGAGGGCGGGTGGGCTGTGTGACAGCCCCTCAGCGCAGCTGGAGCACCCTCTAGCGGTCAATTGAGTAATGACCGGGAGCTTGGATTCACGAAATGCCTTTTTTTTTTTTTTTTTTTTTTTTTCCTTGATGGCTCTAGCTTCTGAGCTGGCTCTGGGCCTAACACAGTGCTGAACCCTCACATGGATTATCTCCTTTAATCCTCTCGACAACCCTATGAAGGAGTATTATTTCCTTTACCCAGATGAAAAAAATCAAGGCCCAGAGAGGGGAGATGACTTCACGTGAGGTCCCACCACCCAGTTTCCCGGCTTCATTCCGGCTCCTTCTCTTCACCCTGTCCCTCAGAGAGTACATACATCCGGTTGAGGGGACAAGGTGGACACACCCAGGAAACGATGAAGGCCGCAGAGGTGGTGGGGCAGGGGGTGGAGAGGCAGCTGGGAGGACCTGAGCCTTACGAGAGTGATGTGGATGTTCGCCAGGGGTGGTGGAGACCAGCTTGGTCTGAGCCCATGGCTCTGAGTCACTGAGAGGCAGTGTATATAGTAAACCAATTATACTCAGCGCTTACTTGCTGCCTGGAACTGTTGGGAAATAGGAGCCCATGAGGTAGGTTGTGATTTAGCCCCATTTTACACCTAGAAAAATGGAGGCCAGGGAGGTTGTGGAACGGGCCTGTGGTCACAAAGCTGTAGAATCCAGGTGTTTAATCTTCTGTGCTGTCATCTGTGGTGCACGCCAACCCCTCAGAGCTGTGCCTCTCACCCCGTCAGAGTGCAGTAAACACATTGGCTGTGGTTGGCCTTTTTAATTCACAGGCAGACCCGGGTCCCACCTTCACAGAATTCCCAGCCTGCAGAGGGGAGAGGAGGAAGGGCACACCAGTCTTTAAAAACGAAAAAAAAAAAAAAAAATATATATATATATATATATATATTTTAGAAGATATAAAGTAAGAAATGTTTCTCATAAAAAGTTTGGAAACTGTACATTAGTAAAAGATTATTGCTCACCAGCCCCTGTCCCTCACCCCCATGGAGAGAGAAATCTAGTCTGTCTCGAGTACTTGCTGTGTACCAGACACTGGGCTGAGCAGGTAGCATGTGTTATCTGACGGTATATATGGCGCACCGAGCCAAAGTTTTGTCCCAGGTCTGAGGTTTACCCACTTTTGTCACTCCTCAGGGTCCATCACCCCTGGACTTGGGCAGAGCCATGACAACAGAGCTCTGGGAGCGCAGGCGACATGCTGATGGCATGAACACTAACCCCCTGGGGGGGGGATCAGAAAGAGTGGAGATTCCCCCAAGCTCCCTTGGGGATGAACCTGCCAGAGGCCCTGCTTGCCATGCCAAGGAAGCTTGGCTGTCTCCTGCCTTTGTCTGAGAAGGGATGTGAGGGAACCGGGCCCTGGCTCCACTGGCCCGTGCCCAGGAGGAGTGGGCAGCCCTGGCATGGGGCACGCGGGGTTGCTGCCACCTAGCGCTCAAAGGGATTGTTGGCCAAGCAGCCCCAGGAGACCCCCCCCAGAGGGGCCGGGGGGCCACTTAGCGTTAAAAGTGTGTTTCCACCACCTTCTAAAGACCTCCCTGATTCAGCAAATAAGTCCACCGACACCGCTTCAGGGGATTGTGGTCAGATATAATCTAGTTTTGTCTGAGGGGCACACAGGCCACCTCACAGGGACTGGTTAAGCATCTAGTGCTGGGGGGGGTGTGGAGAGACCCCAGACCACAGATCCCATTCTCGGGGAGCTCACCAACTGACCGTAGGAGTGTGCCCTCCCCCTTGGCCACCACTGTCTCTCACCCGGATTGAGGCAGACATCGCCTAGCGAGTCTCCTCCACCAGGAGCGAGGATGTGTGTAGATGACATATCAGCCATTGCTTTTAGTCCCTTGACCACCGCATGGCTCTCTGCCTCCCCTGTTGGTCTTAGCGGTGTCCCTGCGGCAGGCCACCAGAGCCTCTGTAGCTGCCTCAAACATCGTTGGCTCAGAAAGGACCAAGGCTCCCTCCTACTAAGGCTTCATCCTCCAAGATAGGCCTGTGCCCCTAAGCTGTGCTCCGCTAGGCCCCATCCGTCCTTTATTACATTGAATCACCCAACATCCTCACTGCCCGTCCCTTCCCAGGGCAGGCAGCCCCTGGGGGAGAGGCTGTGTGTGTTTGGAGTCGTAGCTCCAGGCAATTGGCTTGTGACTCTAGTACTTTGTTAGTGAAGGAAGGACTAGCCATGGAGGACGGTTTATGTGGCCTTGTGAGTCCCCTGCTCTGAACGTGGGGGGGCTTTACTGATGTCCACCTGGGAGTGCAGCTGAGCCCAGGAGCCTGGGACAGGTTCCCTGGCTGCCCACAGGCCTGCTCAACTATGCTACCCTCCCCCCACCCAGGCCATCCCAGCATGGATATGAAGTTGGTCCATCCCCACCAGACCCTTGTCTCACTGGGGTGGATTCCAACCTAGGCTTTAGGTGTTGGCTTTGGAATCTGTTGGCACTGATTTGCTCAGCCCCAGGCCTTGAGCCAGATCCTGGGCAGACATGAATCAGACCCAAGAGGGGAAGTGGAGGGGGCCCGGAGCATACAGGAGGGGCTGAGAGGGCCAAGGGGTTGTCCCAGAGGTGCTGATCAGCCAGGGAGGCGAATCCAAGCTGGAGGTGCAGCCTGTTCAAAAGCAGAGAGCGCAGAGCCTTTGGGACTCTGCAAGTAGGTCAGTGGCGCTGGGGTGTGGGGTGGAGCAGGGAGGGGCCTCCCTCTTCCTTCTGTCACCAAGAATTGGTCCGTGGAGGAGTGCCAAGCTAGGCTGGGATCCTTCACAGAGCAGAGTTGGTCAGGGGCTTCTGAGCAAAGGGTCATTCCTTCCATGCAGTGTCCTCATTGCTGAGGTCACTCATTCTCTGTGTCAGCCAGGGTAGCCACCATCTGTCCCAGGGGCCCATGGCTATCAAAAATGGTGGGTCTTAGAGTCCTGCTTGGGCGCTTCGCTTCACCTGTCTGAACCCATTTCCTTTTAGCTCTAAGACGGGGTTGGGAGCACAGCAGATTTTCCAAGATGCTCTCAGGATGGTTTAATGAGACGGGACTTGTGGGTGGGTGGCGCAGGGACATCCGGAGGAGGTCAGCAGGAAGCTGAGCCTCCGCTCACCGCCTCCCTCCGCCCCTCAGGCGCGGGCCCAGGCTGAGGCCCTCCGCATCAGCGATGTGCACTTCTCTGTCAAGCCGAGCGCCAGCGCCTCTTCGCCCAAGCTGCACTCCAGCGCGGCCGTGCACCGGCTCAAGAAGGACATCCGCCGCTGCCACCGCATGTCCCGCCGCCCCCTGCCCCGCCCCGACCCCCAGGGTGGCAGCCCTGGCCTGCGCCCCCCCATCTCACCTTTCTCCGAGACGGTGCGCATCATCAATCGCAAGGTAAAGCCTCGGGAGCCCAAGCGAAACCGCATCATCCTCAACCTGAAGGTGATCGACAAGGGCACGGGCGGAGGCGGCACCGGGCAGGGGGCTGGAGCCCTCGCTCGCCCCAAAGTCCCCTCGAGGAACCGCGTCATCGGCAAGAGCAAGAAGTTCAGCGAGAGCATCCTGCGCACCCAGATCCGCCACATGAAGTTCGGCACCTTCGCGCTGTACAATAAGCCCCCGCCCGGCCCTCTGCCTCCCCAGCCAGCGGGCAAGGCCGATGCTGCGGCCTCCCCGGGCCCTGGGCTGCTCCTGGCCGCCCCCGCTGCCCCCTACGACGCCCGCAGCTCCAGCTCCTCCGGCTGTCCTTCACCAGCACCACAGTCCTCCTCCGACCCTGACGACGCGCCCCCCAAGCTGCTCCCTGAGACCCTGAGCCCAGCTGCTCCCGACTGGCGTGAGCCCGAAGTGCTTGACCTGTCCATCCCTCCTGAGGCCGCGGCTGCCAGCAAGCGGGTGCCTCCCGATGTCCCTGCTGCCGCGGGCCCGGTGCTGCCCACGGCCCCCGAGCCTGCCAGTGCCGCCTCCGAGCCTGAAGCTGGGGACTGGCGCCCTGAGATGTCACCCTGCTCCAACGTGGTGGTCACCGACGTCACCAGCAACCTTCTGACAGTCACTATCAAGGAATTCTGCAACCCTGAGGATTTCGAGAAGGTGGCTACTGGGGTAGCAGGTGCCGCTGGGGGTGGTGGCAGCAGTGGGGTGAGCAAGTGAGGGGGCTCCACCAAGGAGGGGGGCTTGGGGGGGGCCCTCCTGCCCAAAGTCCTACGTTTGCTCCCGCGCCCACCCCTGCCCTCAGACACCTCTGCCTGTGCTTTGCTTGTTTCAGATGGCTCGGTGTTGCCCCCCGGGATGGGGCTGGGCAGTTGGAGCCCCCCGAAGCCCAGTGGGAGCAGCAGTCCTGGAACGGGTTAGGGCTGGGGTGGGGCGAGGGCACTTGGAAGTCCTCCCTCTTGCCCCTTGGCACCCTCCCTGCCCGTGTATGGTGGGGCCTGCTGGGTGGCTCCCCCGGAGCCCCCGAACCTGGGGTTCAGCTGCCTCCTCCGCATCCCACTCTGTCTCTCCCCAGCTTGCTTCCAGCTCTCGCACACAGCATCTGATTTCTCGGTGCTAACCCGGCAGCTGTGGGGCCCCTTAGGAGACCCCCTCCCAGCGGGCACGCTGTCCCTTTCCTCCCCAAACCGGATGCCTGGGCAGGAGGGCCAGGGATGGCAAAGCCCAGTCAGAGGTGGAGGTGAGGCCGGCCTCAGCCCCTCCCTCCACGTCAGGGAGGGTGGCAGGAGCGGGGCCAGAGGGCCAGAGGCCTGGCTCTTCCCACGAACTTTAGCACCCGACCCAAGCAGGTCCCCTTAGGCTCCACCTCGCCCCGGCTCCCTCCTCAACCCCATCTCAGAGGTGGGAGGGACCGGTAGGGCCCTTCAGTTCTCGACCAAAGGTGCTACAAGAACCTGCTGTGGAAACTTCCAGCTGGCGTGCGCACCTGCCGCCCCACGGCGTGTTTGTGCGCGTACCCGGATGTGCACGGGGCCCGGGCTTTCCAGGCGGCTCTGTTGAGGGTTCCTCAGGATGGGGTTTGTCCGAGGCCCGACCTTTCCTTGCCCGGACCTGGCGCGGGTCCGAGGAGTTTGCTGTGGAGCCCCCAGGCCGATCCCCCCAGCCCAGCTGTGCTGGGGTGCACGCCCCCACGCCGCCCTGTCCCGGGCGGCCCGCTCAACCAGCCAGGCCTTTGCTGCGGACACGGCCTGGCGGGAACCGAGGTGGAGACGGGAGGCCCCGCTCCGGCCTTGCCCTTCCTTCCTCCCCCGCGTCTGGGGGAAGGAGGAAGCCTGGAAACCACTCCCGGTGGGGGGGGTGGGGGGGGGCCTCCAGCCTCTCCCCGGCCCCCTACCTTCGCTTCTGACCGCTGAGGCTTCTCACCGCGCAGCCTGCTCGAAGCAGCCGGAGGCTCCGGAGCCCAGGGCAGCTTTCCCAGGGAGCTAGGGTGTCCATGCCGGTGGCAGAGACCAGGGCCCCTGCTTCAGGCCAGGCCCCCTGGGAGGGCGGGCAGGCCAAAGGGGGTGACCAAAGAGGGGGCTTGTGTTCTCCAGGAGAGGGAGGGTATGCGGGACTGGGGCGCTGTGGGGGCCGCCCGGCCGGCCAGCCCCGGGTTTCAGTCTGGCCTGGGTGGCGTGGCCCTGAGCGGGGCTCCAGGGAGCTTCCGGGCGTGTGCAGTGAGAAGTGTCTCAACTCGGAAGCAGGATGGCGGAAGGTAGGGGGAAGCAGAAAGAGAATCCCGTTAGGTAGCAGATGCCTTTGTCGGAAGTACGGGAGGACTCGCTCTTCCAGATCTCCCTGCCAGGGTGGCCCCTGCCCCCTCCGCACCCCCGGATGTAGAACAAGGGCCCTCACAGGGTTTGGGGGGCTGGCACTCCTAGACCCCTCCCCACTCTGCCCTTTGTGTTGGCTCTGTGGCCGTCCAAGTGCCAATTGGCTTACCCCCCAAATAAGGGCTGGTATTTCTCCTCTGTCCTTAGAGGGGATTTCCCCCCTGACCCCTCACCCCAGGTGAGTGACCGCCTGGGGGCCAGTTACAGGTGTTTTTCAGAGACCATAGAAATGTGTTTTCCTGAGAGTCCGTGTCATTCGTGACTTTTTTTGTAAAGAAGTTGTGTTTTCAGAGGTGATTTTATGACAGGAAAGTGAAAGAATTAGTTTTGCAAAAAAACAAAAAACAAAAAAAGAGGAAAAAAAAAGAAATAGAAAAAAATATTGTGGGATTCCTACGGGGTCGGGGTGGGAGTGGGGGGGAGAGAAAGAAATATTTAAAGAAAAACTAGTACCGCAGTGATTGCACAGGTGAGGTGGTGATGTTAGGAACGGGGATGGGCGGCCTCCCTCCTGTCCTGGGCCCAGCCCCCACACCTAGCCTCCTTCAAAGGGAAGGATGACCGCTGGTCCCAAGGGAACTCGCCAGAGCTGCAGGGGCCAGGTGAAGGGAGCTGAGATTTGGGGGGATGGTGGGGGGGGTGAGTGGGAGTCCCACTGTTGCATCCTTGGTGACTTTGTCCAGGAAAGCTGGTGAGTAGATACAGTTGGGTTTCTCGCTCTCTTCCACTCATTTGCCAGCTTGTTGGGTCATCTGGTCCCTCCCTCCCCACCACCCCAAAGACCGTGACACCCCTGAGCTTCCCTGTCCAGGTAGGGGATACAGGCTTCAGAAAGACAGGAGCTGTAGATTCTGGGAGAATCTTAGGTAGTGACCCTAAGAGATTGGGAGTGCCCATGCGGAGAAGAGAATGCCTACCCTTTCTCTTTCCACGGGTGGGTTGCTGCCCCGACCCTCAGCCGTGCGGCCCCATCCCATCTCAGCACACGCGGAGGCACACATGCACACTGCTTAGAGGTGGGCACCTCCCCTGGGAGGCCCAGGTGGGCACAGGGTCAAGAGCAGGTGGAGCTCTCCTTACCTCTCTCCCAGGGTGGCTCTGAGCGGGGACCCATAATCCCCCCACACACTCTTGCACGAATCAGCCTCCTCTGGGCCCTCCCTCTCCCCTTGCTGCTTTTCCGTTTGCCTAATTACCAAGCAGAAGTTGCATTCTGGTTTGCTTTATTTTTGTATGTGAAATACCCCCAAAGCCCAATCTCCCATATTCAATATCAGTTGGGGCATCGGTCCTCCCCCCTTAATGCCACCCCTTCCCCACCCACGTGTCATAGGAAGCAGGTGAGGTCTGGTGTCACCAGTTTGAGATGGGAAGTTGGGACACCTCCCTGTCTCATTCCCCTCTCTGACCCTCAGTGTGCCCTTCTGTGAAATGGGTGTATTGGGCTCAAGACCTCTTCATAAAGCACTGCTGGTGTCCAGACAGCTGCTGAGGATTCAGTGCTGGTAGAGGTCGCTGGCACTGGGACCTTTAGCCTCCCACAGCCCCCGCTCTTCTTGCCCTGCAAAGGGGTCTGGGGCAAAATGAATGCCATCCTTCCCCACTCTGGAAAGAAGTGATGATTGAGGTCCAACCTCAGTGGGAGGTGGGCAGAGTAGGAGGGATCACCCCATTGAAAAGACCAGGAAACTGGGGCTCTGGGAGGCAAAGCTGCTTCGCTGGGGTGAAGAGCCCAGCTGCTCTGGCATTTTGGGAAAAGCCCCTTCAAAGGGGGCGGAGGGGGCGGATGCTGAAGCCACTGCAGAGCCAGCAGGCGCCCCCCCCCTGCCTTTGCCAGGCAGTCCTGGGTGAGGGGTCAGCCCAGAGGAGGAAACATAGGTTGGGGGTGCTGGGCCATGACCAGCCCTTTTAGCCTTCATGGGGCCCAAGTGGACGCACCACCATTCCTACCTTCTGGGGTTTTATTGCTTGGTTGGGTTGGGTTGGGTTTTTTGGTCTTTTTGTTTTTTGTTTTTGTTTTGTTTTTGCACTTGGCCCACGCCGGACAGTGGAGCCCCACACGGTCAGTTCCGCTTTCGGGCTCCCATGCACTAGCCCAAGGCAGCCTCTCGGGGGCTTGTATGGTTTAAGGAATCACTTTTAAAAAGAAAAGGAAAGTGTTTAAAGGTTTTCGTTTTTCTCAGTCTGCATCTCCTCTCAGATTCAGAAAGGAGTTTAGGGGCTAACACTCCAGGAGAGGGTCTCCTTAGCCTGACTCCATCTTGCTGACAGTCACCAACATGCCGAAATAGGGGGACAGGCTGAGTGGGGACTGAGGACCCCACACCCCAGGCCTGTGGGGTCCCCCTGCCTCGCCTTGAAGGAGTCGATAACCCACTCCGGCAGTGAGTGAGTGCCTACTGTATGCAGAGCTTCAGCTAGGCAAACAGGGCTGATGGTCTAACCAGACTCCTTGCAAGAGGCCAGGGTAGAAGGAACCAAGAGTTCTGGGGCCTGCCCCCGCTGTTGGGCGGAGTGCAGATGGACACTTTTTGTTTGTTTTAATTTAAAAACACAAAGGCCTAAAGAAATGTATCTTATAATTTTTTTAATTTTTGAAAAGCTCATTTAATGAATTGTGCACGAATGAATTCTATATATATAAAATATACGTATATAGCTCTATATTTGGGGAGGGGCGCTGTCTCTTATTTCTCTTTTCTCATTTTAAAAATGAAGTGTTGTTGCCTTTGTCTGTGGTTCAACCATCCAGCTCCCAGCTGGCTAAACTTTGCCTCCAGTGGGGTGACAGAGGGACTGAGTTGGGTTGGCAGGAGACCAGGAATGGAGCTGCCACCCGAGCGTGGGGGTGAGTCCCCCAGGCTACCTGCCCCCTCCCAGAGGTTGCGGGTGTGGGTTTTGGTTCTGTTGTTCTGGATTCGATTGTTTCTGGGCCGGGGGAGGGGGGTTTGTGCCGATTACTCTCGTCTTGTACGTTTAGTTCTGCTGCTCTTCAGTGTTGTATCAATGCCAGGAAGGGGGAGTGAAAAGCCTCTTTTGCCCCCCAAATAAATTGTCACATTCCGAAGCTAAGGTCTGGCCCCTAGGGTGGGGATGTGTCAGTCTCATTTCTTCGGGCTGTGCATGTGGTCCCTCCAAGCATCGGGCCAGGCCTCGCCTGCTGCAGTGAGGAGGGGGGTGGCCTGTCCCTCCAGCTGTGGCCTGTTTCCAAGCTCGCCATCTCCCACCCTCTCCCCACCTCGCAGGCTGTAAGTGGGCTGAGTTGGAGGTAAGACTGAGGTGCTGCCAGGCAGGCGGGCGCCTTTGGGGGGGACGCCACTGCCCGCTCCCCACTTGGAATGGCAGCAGCTGCAGAGGAGGGGGCTTGGGGGGGCTGGGTCCCTAACAAGTTTTTCGCCACAGGGCCTGGGAGAACGGGCCGGTGCAGAGAAACGTTTGTTCTCTGGGCACTCAGGTGCCTTCTCTGATTAGATAGGTGAGCAGCCACGAGGAGCCCTCTCCCCACGTAGGGCAACCTCATGGGTTGAAAAGCCGCAGCCCTGGGCAAACCTATGCCTTCCTCAAGGGCCCTGTCGCTCTGCCCTTGAGCCACGCCTTTGTGCATCGGTGGCCACCCATTTGCCAGACCTTGAGCACATGTCCCCCCGAATCCTCCCCTTCCACAGCGCCCCCACCCCTGATCATGAAATCCCCGGTGTCTCCCCAGCCTGTGTGCACCCCCCTGCCCCGTCCTGACCGGTCTGCCAGGCTCCGTCCTAGCCTGTTCCACCCCTGCCTCTTCCACGCAGTGCTACAGGGGGCTGGAGCCGCCGCCTCAAGCCCCCTGGGAGCCCACTGCCCTCAGGATCATGTTGCAAGTCCTCCACTGGCAGCCTGCGGGGGGGGGGGGGGGGTGCCGGCCCCTCCCACTCTCCTTGAGTTCTCTGCAGGGGCCTCCCGTAGCCTGCAGCGCCTCCTGGCCACCTACCTGGGGCCTTGTCCTTCCAGGTCCCTAAGGGTGGGGCGGCAGCGTCCCACGCTACCCACAGCTCACAGCCCAGCGCCTGACACACGCTAGGCCCTCCATTCCTCTTTCCTCCAGTTGTCACCCCCTTACTGATGGGGTCGGTGAGGCGGGGGAGTAACTGAGCAGACCTGGGATGCCGGGACAACTCATCCAACTGGTCCTGGGCCAGCAGGACAATTGGGAGCCTGGCCCTGTCTGCCCCTGGTCCCGGCAGGTGGGTGGGAAGGTGGGCGAGGGATGTGAGTCCTGCTGTGCCGTCGGCTGGCCCTCCTCCGTGGTGCCTACTCCGGCCCTCCCCCTCCCCGGTCATCTCGCCAGTTTCAGTGTTCTCTTCCCCAAAAATCCTTAATCCATACTGACGGACAAAGCAGCCCTGAGCTCAGTGCACCCACTACAGGCCAAATCCCCCTCTCTCCCCCTGCCCAGCTCCACACCTCCACCCCCTCCCTGGGGCGCAGTGAAGCCTCAAGTGAAGAGCTGTGTCATGGGGGGGGGCTTGGTTAATCCATTCATTTTCCTGAAGTGGCACAGTTCTCAGTGGTGGAGGGGGCTGCCCTCCAGCTCTTGCCCCCAAGCCCCACGCTCTCGGGGATTGGGAACACCCTTGTGAAGCAGGTGCGTCCAGAGATTTAGAGTCACTGCTGTCCCTTGTTCCAAGTCATGCCATTCCTAGGCAGTGAGCTCTGTATCAGTTGCCCCTGAGTGAGTGTGACCATAACTGCTTCTTAAGGAGGATTGGAGGGTTTGCTTTGAGCGCCGGGCAGGACCACGAAACTCAGCTCAGAGGGCACGATGCCCTGTCTGAAACGCTCCAGGGTCGCTGTTGGTGTCACAGGGTTCATCTGCCAGGTGGTACCTAACCCAGCCCCCGTCCTCACCTTCTCTTCCTGGGCCTCGCCAGGGGTCCGGGTCAGCCCCGGGGTGAAGCCCAGGGCTGGGACAAGGGAAGGGTAGGGGTTGGGGAGGATAAGCTTGCAAAATTACGCCATCATTTTTTAAAAGCTGTAAGAGCAGTGGCTTTTCTGTCCCTATCAAATTCTGCCTGAAGTGAAGAGGGGCGCTCAGCATGGTTGCATCCAAATCGGAAGCCCCCCTCAAGCCAGATCACAGGCCTGTGTGCCCATTCTGCACCATCTTTGTTCAGGCTGCTGGCTTCTGACAGTTCACACTTCAAAGAGGGCTCTGGCTCAGAGAGCTCAGGGACGCCTGATCCGTGCAGGGGGTCTGCAAGGGAAGCAGCAGGTGAGGGGCCCCACCCTCCGGACATCCATGCGCTCTGAGCGTCTCTTCATCACAGGAGGGTTGAAGGAGGAAATAACCCTGGTGAGCAGTAATGAGACCTGGACACAGCAGAGGCAGTGGGAATGGTAGGAAGTGACCAGAGTTGAGAGATGTTTGGAATATTGAAGATTTTGTGACTGGCTTTCAGTGCTTGCAAGAGGGAGCCTCTGAAAACCTCCTGGGTATCTGGTGAGCAAAGGAGGGGGTGTTGGTGCCACTCACAGGCGGGCTGGGGAGCCTGGTGGGGGAGTCAGCTTGGGAGGAGGGTGAATGCAGTTTGAGACACCTTGGGTGTGAATCAGGAGGGATTTTGACCCATAGACGTGAGGCTTGGAGCAGCAATTTCCTGCTCACCCAGGCACTGCTAGGGAAATCTGTCCCTTTGTTGAAGAGCCTTTATCCCCAAGTGCACCTCAGCTCTGAGATGTCACCAGACACCCTGGAAGGATCACTAGGGACTTAAGTGCTTTGCTCCAGAGGCCACTGGGATATCTAGCCCCTGCCTGCCACCACCCAATAATCTCATGCCTTTCATCTGGGTGAGGTTGTGGGGCAGGTGGCTGGGGACAGTGAGTCAGACAAGTGGTGGGGAGGTGGGAGGAGGCTTACCAGGGTCACTCAGAGGCTGAAGGAGTGGAATCCAGGTCTTGGGCATGGTGGATGGAACCTTCTGGAGGGATGCTACACAATGCCTAGAGATACTAAAGTATAACAGACATTCTGTTAAATACCTAGCAACCCTCCAAGATAGTAAAGAAATCCCCACGGACCATAAACAAAGAGGAAGCCAAAATCAGAGTGATAAGCAGATGCCAATCCTTTGCCCTGCAGGGTGGGTCTGCGGGTGACCCAGGAACAGGTATGGGGAGGTATTGGCCTTTGCTGATCTTGGTAACGAAGGAGCTTGGAGTCTACATCTATATACGGGTGGGAGACAAGGCCTTGAGCCCTTGCCAAAAGAGATCTGAAACCAAGACACCTGAATATAGCATATCTTCAGTGAAAAGGCAAATGGTTACCAAAAAAAAAAAACAAAACAAAACAAAAAACCTGTCATTAGAGACGTTTCATGTTTGGCTCTGGTTGGAAAAACAAAAATTAAGTCTCCCTTGAGAAATTATGACTCTAGACCTTCCCTAACACAAATCTGAGGTTTGAATTTGCATTACCCACATGGTCCCAGAACTGCCAGATCTGGTAATTAACATACAAAGCAAATGTGGGATGCCTTACACCCACAGAGCATGTGGCAATAGTAAATGCAAGCCTCTCTGGAAAGGACATTCCCAAATAAAAGCCACAGTGGGATATTCACAGATAAAACCCTTGTTAACGTGAGCTTGCAATCCAAAATTACAAGACATACAAAGAAGAAAGCCACAAAGACACACAGCAGAATGACAAACAGCATGTATGGAATCCTGCACCTGACACATCATTTTCAAGCTGTGACACACTGAAGATTTCCAGACACTACCATGGACATCATGCGGCAGGATATAAAGCAAATCCCAATACATCTCAAGAAACTTGTCATCACAGTTCATGTATAATTAAACGAAAAATGAATAGCTAGAAGAACTGAAAAACCAAGCCTCATATACTTGGATGGTAATACACATCTCTCGTTCCCTGGTGTCTTGCTCTCTCCTCCCCAAACTTCTGAAATCTCCGTAGAACAGTGAGACTCAAGATAAATGTGAAAATGTGAATACATGGTAGATACACAGGAGGTGCACAGCCAATTGGAGTTGAAGCTGGATGGGAACAGGTCTCCCGTGGTCCCTCTAGATGGAATATGACCTTCATTAGAGCAGAAGACCAAAGTCATCTCTGTCTCTTCCAAAGGCTGAGCTCAGAGTGTGACAAAGACATGAGCCTCCATTTAAATGACAGCGGCTAACGATCAGCCTTTATGAGCCACAGGCAAACATCAATGCAGAGCCATGACGAGCTGGCGGAAATGGGGCAAAGCAGCTGGCAGGTGTTCTTGGTGCTATGGCATAAAGACAGCACCCCCCACCCCGCCGGCCTTCTGCCCACCTCATCTCATGGTGTGAAATCCCAGCACGAGCAACATACTCTTTTCAGGTGGATTTGGAGGTCCCTAGGGGTTCTCTGTGAAGGCTCCGATAGTCCCGTCTGTGAGCAAGGCAACAGGACACACTTTGGAAAAGGCAATTGTAGACTGTCCCCCGCAGGGACTCATTAAAGTGACCGTCCTCTCTCAGGCTCCCTTGACACAGTGTCCATGTCGAAGTGTCGTGGTGGAGGCTTTCTGTTCTCATCAGCCCCAACATGCTCCCCCACACTCATCCCTCCTCCGCCTGCCTGCCTATCACACCCCTGTCACCAGAAGGAGACCCCTGTCTGGGTTCAGGTGGTCAGGTCACTTCTCTACAGCCCTCGTGCCCCTCAGCTGTTGTGGAAGCCGGGAGTCCCTACTTCTCAGGGTTCCTTGGGAGGCCTGAGGTGATGGGTGCGAAAGGGTTTTTGTGCAAGCACCACTTGGGTAGGAGGAGACATCTTCCAGATCTATGTGTCCAGACTTGACCATTCTTCTGACTTCCGGCCCAGGTGCTCCAGGGCTCTGCTCACCAATTCTGAATGCCCTCCTCCCATGTAAGAGCTTCGGTATAGTTGAACAGTGGATTAGTCCCAGCTCTGCCACTTTGTGTGATCTCAGGCCCGTCAAGCACTCTCTGGGCCTCTGCGTCCTCTTCTGTAAAACAGAGGAGAGGGGTTTCCTCTAATTATCCTTCCAACCCAGGATTGCTCTAAGAAAGACAACTAACACAGACAGAGTGGACTTTACAAGGATTAACTAATTAAATCCTCACAAGCCAGAGAGCTCAGTACCTACGATATAGAAATGAGGGCACTGTGGTCCAGAAAGGTGAAATTGTGGCTCACGAATTCCTATGCGGTAGAGGTGGGAGTTGAACCCACACGGTCATACTTCCCACCGTGCCCACGTCCTCCTGCATGGCATGGTAGGTGAGGACACAGTAGGTAGAGCTGGGCTGCCTGACTGTGTGAGACTGCCCCAGCATGTTGCTTAGGTCCCCGTGCCTCAGTTTCCCCATCTGTAAAATGGGAGATGAGAATAATACTCCCTTCCTCGTGGGATTGCAGGGAACCCTGCTGAGGGCTCGACGAGCCAGGCTTTGAGCTGCACACTGGAGTTTCACTCTGGCTTAATGCTCCCATGGTGCAGCCAGGGAAACTGGTGGGAGAGACTGAGTCACTTGCTCCGGGTGGTACCCTTGGTAAGCTGTGTGCGGAGCTGAAATTGAAACCCAAACACCCTAACTTCAAAGTCCATGCTTTCAACCCCTCTGCTCTACCCCCATGTGACACCCTCAAACTCCATCTTCAAAACCAGCCTCCAGACTGCAAATTGGCCCCCACGGGCTGCCTGACTCACTGCCTTCCACTGGTGGGGCCTGAACCCTGCGCCTCGTCTCTGACTCATCCCTTTCTGGCCTGTCACCAGCATCTGTGACTGAGGGACCCCCGAATGGAAATCCCACTCGAATCCCTCCCTTCCCCCTCAGCCCTGCTGCCCGCTCCAGTCCAGACCCCCAGAGCTGAGGGCGACGGGTACCAAGTACCCCGTTCCAAAGCATAGATTTGCAAAGGGCCAGGGCCAGAAGTGCTCCTGGTCCCTCAGCCCTCCAAGGCTGTATGGCTGAGTTGGGGGGGGGGAGAGGAGAGGAGAGGGGGCTCTCTTTGGAGACAGTTGGCAGTACTCCCCAACCTGAGGCCAAGTGAGGGGAGGCTTCGGAAAACCCAAGGGTATAGCACGTGTCCCCTGGAATTCTGAGGGTAAGTGACAAAGGGGAAAGCCTGGCTAGGCTTCCTTGCTTCTTCGAGGCAAGGACTGAGCTGCTTTGGGAACAGCCTGCACTTCCAGCCTTTGGGGGCCAGGATGCAAATGTGTTTCCCAGGGCCCCAGAGGGAACCTTGAAGAATGTGGCTGGTTTGAGGTCATTTTGAATCAGGACCCTGCCCCAAGAGGATTGGTGTGGGGGTGGGAGTGCGGAGGGAAGCAGGGAGGGGGCATGAGATCCTATCAGAAGGACTCATGTTGAGTTGGAACCCGGAAGGCAGGTGCTGAAGGGGGCTGTAAGCCCAGCCAGCCCGGGGAGGCTTTGCCCGGGTAGAAACTGCAGGTGGGAAATCCCTAGTGATTGGAGGGGGGTCTCTGAAGAACCCACAGAAGTACCCCTAATGAGAGAATGACTCCTTCCTCATTATACAGGTCTTTGAGTTTAAGGCAGACTTGAGGGAAAGAAGAAGTCTTGAACAGAGCTTAAAACTTTGCTACTAAACTAGACGATTTTGATATCTAAAAAAATAAGGTAAAACCTCAGAGTGACTGAAAAAGTTATGAGATATACCTGAAATTTCATCCAAGAGTGGGAAAGATGGGGTCAACAGAACAGGTTGACAAGGCGGCCACTGGGAAAGAGTAAAATGACTTCTGCCTGCAGCCTGCCGAGCACAGCTCACTCTGGGTCTGTTCACTGCTTCAGCCTCCAAACAGGCCGCCTTTCCTCCCCTCTGCTGTTCGTGCCCTACCCTTTACCCTCGACCCAGTCCATCGGGCTCAGGCCTGCCAGAACAGCCTTCCCTGCATTGGGCTTCCTCCCAGAAAGTCCGTATAGCCTAGTGGTCATGAATTTGAATGTCTGGCTTTGAATCCCAGCTCCTCACCTTGGCAGCTGAGTGACTTAAAACAAGTTATTTAACTTCTCTGTGCTTCACCAGCCATACCATGGGGATGGTGATAGTAGCATGCCGGTTCCATTGGGGGTTTGTGAGGCTTTAGATGATTTCGTATCATGCACTTAGGAACAGAGCAAGGACCACCTCGTCATTATCATCAAATGCTTCCTCCTTGCTGTGTAATCTCAGGAAGGTCCCTTTCCCTCCCTGAATCTCCATTTCTGTATCTGAAAAAACAAATTGTGTGTGGGTACAATTTGCTAGTGGCTGCAGCTCATGCTGGTAGCAGGCAAATTTTAGAGGAGAGAGACCCAAGCCCCGACCCATCCCGAGGTGGGCCAAGAAGAGGGCTGGCAAGCTCAATGGGCAGGAGCCGGGGTCCAGCCAGCAGGACCACCCACTGTACCCTGCTCTCCTGCATGGTCCCTTCTTCCAGCCTCTGGGAGAGTCTCTCCAACCTGCCCCCCACTTCCCCTAGGGATCACCTTGGGTCCCCAAGCTAGATCAGGAAACACATGGTATTTGAGGAGTAGCTGTCAGACACCCTTGGTTCTTCGCTGGATACACATAAGCGGTCATCCAGTCAGGTCCCAGGTACCCCCCTTGCCTCTAACCCCATCACAAGCCTCGGCTCTGACTCTTCAGTATCCGCCCGTCCCTGAGCCTCCTTCAAAAGGAGACCTCTTATCTGTCACAGGCCTTACATCATCTCTGTAGACAGCAAGGTCTGCCCATACCCATTCTATGGATTAAGAAAAGGATGATCCTGGAGCCCTAAAACTTGGCTTCCCTGGCTTCAGGTGCAGTGTCTGCAGAATCCTGGGGGTTATCAGAAAACTGCCTTTCCTAGAGGAGCTGGAGAAATGGCCATCAGTCCTTAGGTTCCATCGTGGGTGAAGTAGACACACCCAGAGCACACACTGGATGCCAGTGACCCAGATACGAAACAGATGCAGTGCCAGACCTCCAGAAGTTCTCGGGCTCTCAGGGGGAAACACAAATCACAGATCAGTGCGACAGAAACAGGTGCTGGGCCCCCTGGAAGAGGGCGGGTGTGGGCCACAGCGGCTCTTGGCTTTAGACGAACTCCTGGGATCAGGGGAGGGCCTGGGAGAAGGAGGTGGACGGAGCCCAGGCTGGCGGGAGGCTCCCAGGATATACTTGGCTGTTTCCTCATTGGTCAGGGTCTGATCTACTCGGAGAGAGCGCGAGAATGTGCAACGTTCTGCAAACTTCCAGGTTCAAATCCCACGCATACCTGCACTGACCATGGGGCCCTGGGCAAACGACAGAACCTCTCTGAGTTCCAATTCAGAGAGGGAGGATTTTAACGTGGAGCTCTGAGGTTGCTGCGGTGAGTAACAGAATAACAAGTGTGGGGAGGAGGAATGGACTGAGCCCCAGGGGCTGGCGGGATGAGGGTGAGACAGTGAGAGCACCCCAGCCCCCAACAGCCACAAAAAGAGGACGCAGCCGGCCACTCATCCCGGTCTTTCTGGGCTGGGTCTGGCTGCAGGCACACACCTTCCCGCCAACTGCCAGGTCCCCTACAAGGAGGACACCCGTTTCCTCCTTGGTTCTCGGCCCCTCCTGAGCTGGGAACAGATGTCCTCACTTCCTGCCTGAGCCTGAGAGGTGGGTTGGCTCCTTTTGCTGCTTCCAGGGAAGCAGAAACCCTGGATGGAAATCTCTGGGCTTCCCCAGAGAGGAAAGCTCTCTCCTCCCTGGCTTCTGCCCCTCCTCTCTGGTTGGGCTCCTAGCCGGGGAACCTACTGCTAATAGGCAAACATTTCTGAGCCCTGCTTCCCCTTGGAAGGTCCCAGGCTGGGGTACGTTGATTGAACACATATATGAGCCTTAGTCTGAATGATTCACCACTCTGTTCGGGAAGGGGGTGGGAGAGGAGCCAAGAAAGGAGAGTGAGCCTACTGTAGGCACTCGGGGAATAAAGGTAAAGAAGAAAAAAACGGAGGGCGCCTGGGTGGCTCAGTGGGTTAAGCGTCTGCCTGGGATGGAGCCCCGCATCGCATCGCGCTCCTTGCTCAGCAGGGAGTCTGTTTCTCCCTCAGCCTGCCACTGCCCCTGCTTGTGCTTGCTCCCTCTCTCTGCCAAATAAATAAATAAAATCTTAAAAAAAAAAAAGAAGTAAAAAAGGAAATTAACCTTCATTGGGCACCTAATAGGTGCTAGGAATAAATAAGGAAGGGATGGCATGTTTGGGGCATGTACTAAGTGCCAGGCACTGTGCTGTGCCCTAGGCATACAAAACAACATGGTGGGAAATTGTCCTTGCCCCTGAGTCCTCCGGAGATTTTACACACATCTCATCTGCTCTTTTCCCGTTCTCACTATGCGGTGAGTACCATGACCCCACTTTATAGACAAGGAGACTGAGGCGGCTCTGGTTCTGGGACAGTCCATCCCCGGCTGGAGACTGGACCCTCAGGATGGAGATGTCCAGGATGGACACTGGCAGCTCTCTTTGTCCCCCAGCCCCTGCTTCCCCACTCCCCAGGGAAAGGAAGCTCTTTAGCTCACAAGCACACCCCAAGAGGAATTGTCCGCCTTCGCTGGGAGCTTGAGTAGCCAGGAGTGCAGGCCCCCGGAGACACAGAGATGAGGAGGACTCAGCTGGTCCCTGCCCCGAAGGGGCTCACGGTCTTGCAGGGACAGGTAAAGTGGGAGGTGCTGTAGTGGAGGAAAGCACAGGGGCTGAGGATGGCAGGAAGACGGGGAGTCACGTGCTGTTCGATACCCATTACTTACCCGCACCTGGGGGCGTGTGATTTGGAGATAGTTAGGGTGACCAACTAGCCTGACTGAGAGGTTTCCCAGGACATAGGACTTGCAGTGCTAAACTGAAATGAGTTGGTCACCTGAAGCCCCGAGTTCAAGGTCTGAGTCCACAACGTGCCTGTGGCAGACAGAAACTACGAGGTACCAAACCAGCAGCGTTCTCCCATTCTTTTAGACGTGACTTTGTTGTAGCCTGAAGGTTTTCCCTACCCATTGTCCTTCCTCCCGCCCCGACTTTACAAAAATACGTCTCGGTTCAAGAAACATGTATTGAGCAGATGTATCATACCATGGACTTCACTGGTTTAGGGGAAGGAAAGAATATTCATCCCATCTTTTCTCAGCAGAGGGCAAGGGGAATTTTTGATGGGTAGTGGAGGAGGGAGACAGTGGATACCTCTTGGGGCCCTGAGACCAACCGCAGTGACTGAGGCTGTGGTTCATCCCACCAACCCCCACTGCTAAATGTCTCCTCGGGAAGAGAGACCCGGCGAGGGGGGGAGGTGCTTGGAGGAGATGCTTCCTGACCTGTGTGGAGAAGTGGATCTTCACAGCGCAAGGGGTGGGCTGTGGCAGCCACGGAGGGGGCACTGCTCAGCTCCCCCTTTAAGAATGAATCTTCATGGGGCCGCACCTGGTGCATTTAGCACTCAGCTCCCCCTTTAAGCATGAATCTGCATGGGGCTGCCCCTGGTGCATTTAGCAGACACCCTCCAGCTGCCTTGCTTTCTGGAGCCATCCCAGCTTTTGTTTGTTCGTTCATTAGAGCCATTTTAGGTTCACAGAAATATTGAGCAGACGATACAAAGATTTCCCGTACACCCCCTGCCCCACACATGCATAGGCTCCCCCACTATCAATGTCCCCCACCAGAGTGGTGCATTTGTTGCAAGGAATGAACCTACAATGACACACATTATCGCCCCAAGTCCCTCATTTACATTGGGCTTCACTCTTGGTGTTGTACATTCTATGGGTTTGGATAAATGTATAATGGTATGTACCCACCATTATGGTATCCTGGAGAATAGTCTCCCTGCCCTAAAAATCCTCTGTGCTCCGCCAATTCATCCCTCCCTTCCCCATAACCCTGGCAACCACGGATCTTTTTACAGTCCTTATAGTTTTTACTTCTCCAGAATGTCATAGAGGTGGAATCATATAGCATGTGGCCTTTCGAGACTGGCTAATTTCACTTAGTCATATGCATTTAAGTTTCCTCCATGTCTTTTCATGGCTTGAGAGCTCCTTTCTTCTTATTGCTGACTAAGATTCCATTGTCTGGATATACCAGTTTATTTACCCATTCACCTACCGAAGGACATCTTGGTTGCTTCCAAGTTTTGGCAATTATGTATAAAGTTCCTATAAACATCTATGTGCAGGCTTTTGTGTGCACATCACCCCAGCTTCTGAGCTGAAGCCACCTTCTTCTGGAGCAGCTCCCAACTAATGACCAAGCACAAAAAGGGTATTAGGGATTGGGCATTTCTGCCCAATGCAAGACTTCCCCAATGGTCAGTCTTGACCCTGGAGCTCCCTGTTGGGTTGGCCAAGACTTTGTCAGATCTGCATTGGGGTCTGAGGCTCGCACAGCCCTTAGCCCCCAATCAACCACTTGCATATCCAACCCCATCTAAGTGCCTGCTTCCTGGAGGATCCACATGGCAAACTCTACCTCTACAATGACCCATCCAATTCTCTTGGTCATCCAACCTCCAAGGCTCAGTCTTTCCCCAGATTTCTGCATAGCTGGTTTCTCGGGTCATTCAGGTCTCAGCTCATGTGCAGGACCTTTCTGACAACCTTATAAATAATGCCAATCTCCCAAATCCACCCCCCCAACACACAGACACACCATCTACAACTTTCTATAATATTACTTTTTAACTTTTCTTTGTGGTTCTCATGACTATTATAAATTAACTTATTTATTTAATTATTCATTTGTTTACTGCTTGCCTCCCCACTAGGTTATAAACTGAGTTTGTCTTATTTCCAGCTCTCTCCAGTGCCTGGCATTATGCTTGGCACAAAGTCGGTCTCAAAACATATATTTTGAATGAATAAAGATACTTGTTCATTTAGGGCAGAATCCCCTTACCCTAAGAATGGAATATAAGTGAAGCAATAAAAAGCCTAGAGGTGCGAGACTTTAGAGGGAAAATGTGGGGACAATTCAAGTCTGAGGGGAGTTCCCCTGAGAATCTGCTTTTCTGGCCATCTCTGGAGGGATTCTGTGTTAGGATCGGTGGTGGGGGCAGTCTCTCCCACAGTCCCGGAGAAATGGGTTTCAGGACCTCCCTGTCCTAGCCCCCCGCTCTGCCTCCAGCAGCAGGCAGTGTTGGGGGCACTAGGTCCGCAAACATTCACCAAGAAGCTACCCTGCTGGATGGTGGGGATGGAGATGAGCCAAAGAAGGAGAGGAGTGGCACTCCAGGCAGCTGCAGCATGAACAAAGGCAGAGAGGGGGGTCATTCTGGTGTGTTTGGGGAATTATGCACAGTTTGACATTGCTCCAGACAGTGAGGAATAGGAGATGAGGTTGGAAGGATGAGCAGGGTCCAGATTACCAACAGTCTTACAAGCCAAGAGAAGCTAGCATCATAAGGCCTGGCATTTACTGAGGTTTTCCATGTATTACTGTTATTCCCCCATTTTATAATTTGGAAAACAGGTGCAGAGAGGGTGTCAGGAATTGGGAAAGGCCTGAGACTTTACCCTCCTTGCAAACTATGTCGTACAACTGGTAAGAGGGGCAGGCAGGGTGAGAATGAGGCTTTCTGGCTCTAAGAGAATCCATGCCCTTGGCCACTGGGCAGTACTGCCTCTTAAGGGGTTTGGAATTTATTCCATAAGGGACAGGGAGCTTAGAAGCAGGAGAGTGGCATGCTCCTATCACAGGTCTAAAAAGCCATTCTAGGGGCTAAACAGACCAATTTAACAAGATTTGACTCAAGCCTCTGGACCCATTTATTCAATTGTCCCTAAATCTCATGGGGTAGCTCACATAAAAGTGGCACCATTTGGTGCCCAAGCCACGGTGGCTCCCTTGCCCTTGGCAGCAGCCCCCTCTCTTGGCCTCCCCTGTGCTTCCCTGGATTTTCTGTAACAGTTTCTCCTGGGGATTTTAGATACGTGTTTCTGTCTTCACAGGACACACGTAGACGCACCAGGAGTCCCGATGCCTCATGCACCTGCAGGACTTCATGGTCCCCATTCTGCCTGCGTCTGTCTTCAGAGAGCCTGGCTCACCTCTCCATCAGGGAGATGCCTCCCCCAAGCTGTTCCGCCTGGCAGGGTTTCCAGGTCACTGTTCCAATGTATAAACTAACTCACATCCATGCGCGTAGGGCTCTGGAGGTTCATCATATAGAACTTACACTCGCTTGGCTCCCACTTTATAGCTCATGATCCTTGACTCCCAGAGAGATCTGGTGAGCAGGGCAGGCATCATCCTGGGGCTGAGGGAGGGGTGGGGTGTGAGGAGCATGTGCTCAGGGACCACTGGGCAGGATCCCAGTGGTCAAAGAGGGTCCCCCAGGGCGGTGGCCTTCTGAGAAATGTTCTGGTCTCTTCTTGCCACCAGCACTCTGCAGAGACCATACTGTAGCCATGGTGGTTCAGAGCCCCAGTTTGTGACTTGAGCCCCAGTCTCAAGTCAAGAATGCAGGCTAGGAAGGGAGACAGGCCTGGGTGTGGCCTAGGCTCAGGACTGACCTGGGTATGGCCTTGGTCAGTGACTCCCAGGAGCCACAGCCCCTCTCCTCCACCCTTTGCTGCAAACAGCCGAACATCCACAGCCTTCTCGGTGTCCTTCCAGCACTGGGAACTCAGGCTGGTCAGAAAACACCTCGTGGAAAACGAGCTGGACCTGAATTGTGGAGGATGGTAGGAAGTTTTTTGTTTTTTTTTTAAGTTTTTAATTGCAAAGTTAATTTGCAACAAAAAATACATATAGGCATTTTTGAAAGGAGAAAGTGAAAGTCTCCTCAACCACCTCCGCTCCATAGGTCACTCCCATTCCTTCTGGTTCCTTCCAGTGCCTGGTCCACAGGTCCAGCAGGGTTTTACCTTCCTAATGTAGACTGTGGTGGGGAGAGGGGTCTTCTCTGGGACCCCCGATGTTTCATGCCCTTAAGGATTCTGCTACCCTCTGAGATCACAGGAAGTTTTTGTTTCTTTGTTTTTCTGCTGTGTGTGTGTGTGTGTGTGTGTGTGTTCTTGGGTTTTTGTTTTTTGATGGGGGTGGAGGGGAGTGAACCCTGTTCCTTCAGGAGGTCGGAGGTGGGGAGTGACAGGTTGGTGGTTGCCTCAAATTCTCCAGTCCCCTGCCCCCAATACTAACCTCTTTTCTTCTACCCACGCCCACCCCAGCTCAATCCTACAACCTGAGTCCCCTCAGAAGCGCCTGAACTCAAACGCTGCTCCAACGCATCCTAGCTGCGTGACCTTGGACAGCGACCTGACCTCGGTGGGCCCCAGGCCTCTCATTTCCCCGGTGAGCGTGTCCACCGTGAGGCTTAATTGAGCCCGACGCGGAGACAAGCTCCCTGCCAGGTAGCTGTCGGCATTACGGGTTCGGGGAGGGGCCTGGAGCCCAGGAGGGGTGCGGCGGGGGTCCCCCGGGAGTCCCGCCGCGCGGCCACCGGGTCGCCGCCCGCCCCCTCCCCCCGCCCCGGCGCGGTGCGGACGGCGGGATCGCGCTCTCGGCGGCGCCCGGCACAGAACGGGTGCGGGGCTGGGCCAGGGCCGGCCCCGGGGGGAGCCGGCGGGGCGGGGCCGCCGCGCCCGCTCCCCCTCCCCGCCGCCCGCCGCCTTCTCCTCCTCGCGCCGCCCGGGCTCAGAGCGGCGGCAGCAGCGGCCGCGGCAACAGCTCCGGCTTCGGCTCCCGCTCGGCCCCGCTCGGCCCGGCTCGGCCCCGCTCGGCCCCGCGCGCCCGGGCCCCGCGCCCCGACCCCGCCGCCGCGCCTGCCGGGGGGCCTCGGGCGCCCCCGCCGCCCGCCTCACGCTGAAGTTCCTGGCC